ATTCCAACAAGCAAGTCCTCTAGTAAATAATTTCAATCACATTTATAATGAGAATTCGAGAAAATTATTGGAAGACAGACGATTTTGAGTGCATTTTTATCTAATTCCAATCGATCAACATAATTGAATAGTTTCAGTCTGCATTCTTGTGTTTAACTGCCTTGATTCGCGCGATCTGGTTCCCACTACGAAGCGTCACAACGCAAGGCACCAGACAGATTTCGGTAGCGACGTGTTTTACCAAAAACTAATTCATCGTTAACTATCTCCTCAGTTGTTGTTCCTTGACACGCTGCTAGTTTATTTCGCACGTTTTCATTTAGGGCAAAACTTTTACTAGTGCAAGATTCTATTTTGCGCTATTTTTTCTCACATCATAACTTCTCATCTCAGCCGTTTTGCACTCAGAGGAGCACAAACTGATGCGGATTGTACGATTTCGTAATTTTGGCACCGCTTTGTGTGGGATGATAAGCACTATAATGTGAAACAAATACCTAATTAAATTTACGCGAACCACTTGGTCTTTATAGAAAAGTCTCCAAACCGAAAGGAAAGCCGAGCCGAAGTAACTTACTCTTTCGTCTCAGAGAATGCCAGTTTACAGCTCCTGTTATGCTCAAGCGGAATAGTTAAAAACAACAGTTTGATTGACAATTTCAAATAATGACGTAAATGATGTGATTATGAATAAACTGAGGACAATAAAATCCATACTTAATGATGCATTGTAAATTTCTCGTCCCTTTGCCTTTTTGCTTAAATTTNTGATATTTGTCAAACTGTCATTCAATTCAAGTAACGATGTTTACTGTCACCTGCCATAATCTGTTTTCCGTGAATTTGATTTACAGAAAGCATTAACCTCATTCCGAAATGGGAGTGGCTTCGTTGTACAACATGAATTTGCCGGTTTTCCTTTTCCAATTCTGTGTTGTCAATAAAACGTGTTTCACCTTAACAAAGATATCCGTTTCCGAGTCTGTATCTTTGTCTTCCTCAAGCAATTCTTGAGATTAGTCTAACAATATATATATGACGCAATTAGGTAATGTATGCGCAACCGTAGCTTAACAGATATTTCCTGCAACCTGTTTGAGGTATCCGGTAGATCGTACTAGATGAAACTGGTTTTTTAACTGCAAACAGTTAAGGACTAATGTACGCAGGAGACTAATCGGACGAATTTAAAGTGATGATTTTATGGTGGTCGACTGAGTCGGAAATTGCTCTGTAACCCAGGGAGATAGAAGCAGTGGGGTCTACGAAAAGAATGTCGCTGTTACTGAATTCAGCGAAGAGTGAAAAGGTGGTTTATACAAACTCGACCCGATCTAAAACCAGCCTGGTTCTAGCACATCCACCTTTGTTATACAGCAGACAGTCAAAGGAGTATCACGAGCGCTAGAAGTTTGGAGACAACGTTGATCAAACTAATTCCACCGTGGTTTTCATAAGAGGATCCGTCACTCTTCTGACAAAATGGTAACCTGACTGACTCACACCAATCATTTGGAACCTGTTCAATTTCTCGTAATGAACTCAGGTATTTTGTCAACTCCAAAAACCCAGGCTGAGCCTACATCCTTAAATGCTGATAGGAACAGTTCATCCGGGCCGGAAGTCTTAAACCTTTTTGAGATAACTTAGCTCCCTGGTGACCTCCATTTCAGATGGAAGACTGAGATCAATTGGCAGTTATGCCTAGGTAAAGCAGAAATTACGCTGTCTAGTGTCCACGGGGGCTAGCTGAATTGTGCCTCAAAATGTTCTGCCCATCATTTAGGGCTGCATTGTTGAATATAAAACAGTGTGCCATTGGATTCTTAATTACCCCGCTTATGCCGACGTTTCTTGAGCTCATACACCTAGTTTGACGGGAAAATGAAAAACCGTCACCAAATAGCGCAGCCTTCTCCATATGTCTACAATTTTCCATCTACCAAGTCGCGCGGTCATTCATCAGGCTCTTGATGAGCGAACTTCTGAGGGATTTGCGCGCTATGTCGCACTTAGCATCTGGAGGAATGACTCTGTGAGCGCCCAGTAGGGCGGACGAAGTGAATAAGTTCCATCGTTTGTTCTTTGATCACGTGCCAGAAACCGCCATTTTTTAATTCTATATTTGAATAACTTCCTTAATTGGCATCGAGTGCCCATTGAGATCTTTGGCTGGTGGTTGAAACCATAGGCAGTGAGGGGGCTTCACCACTAAGGACGACTTGCAACAGTCACTTTCATTGTATTGCGTGCATTTGGTTCCGGAAGCTTTGTTGCCGACATTTGCCATGTGTAAGGAGAATCTGACTCTGAACAAATTATGGTCCGTACCCACGGGTGTGACAAGTGACAGCGGTAGACTTGAATCCCCATCAGGGGCAGTTGATAGTGATGTATTCGATTCGGTTTCATCGTTGTGAAGAAAAGTTAGGTTTCCAGGTAAGGCGATGTCTTTTTTTGTAGGAGGAGCAACTCTTGGTCTACGCCTAGTTGAAGTAAGCGATCTCTGTTCTCCGTCCGGTCAATTGGGATTGCGTGTGAACAACCAAGAAGCCTCTCTGATTGGTCCAGGGATTGAGCATTGAAGTCTCCAGCGATTACTACGATGTACTTTGGCCGTGAATTTTGGAGCACCTGAAAGAGGTCCTTGTAAAAGTCAACCTTCATTTCCAGCGGACTGCAATCAGTCAGTGTATATGAGGACATGAGTAAGCACGACGATTCAATCTGTTGCTGCTGACCCGTGCTGAACCGACCAGAAGTATAACTAACGGGTGGGTTATAACTGAACTTCATTCAAGAAGTGAGCGCTAACCTTTTGCGCTTAGCACAATCCGGACACTGGCAACTCTATGAGTTTCGGATGCCGAATCATCTGGCACACGAAAAGTGAAGCGTGAGGATAACGTTGAATCAGGATAATGTGAGATGGTAATCGAATCAGAATAAAGACGTGTGTTTCGGAGACAGCATACATCTACACTGAATGCTTCAAGTGTTCTAGATGAGAAAGCTTGTTGGCCGAGCTAACAGAGTGTGCATACACTGAGTGCAGCCTAGCCCAACGGAACTTTTGGTCATGTAAATGCTATAGCTTTTGGTTGAGTGCTATCCTACGGGTGGAGTAAGCAGAGAGCAGCACGTATGATCTAAAAAGAGAAAGAGCTGGGCAAATGATAGTGTTTGAAATGGGTGGCTGAAACTTTAGGGTAGGACGCAATTCGCAGTAGCCTACACCGACAAACGGATTTTCCTATTGGGAACCTTGACCTAAGACTTCGAGGCAAAAGTCTGACCCACAAAGGATTGGGGTGTAGATCCAAAGCGGAGTGCGACCGAAGCACCTGTTCAGGAACTTCTAGAGACCTGTCAGACAAGGCCTACGGCTTTCAGTTCAGAATGCTATTTTCTGGTGCCTTCATTAGCGGTTCACTGTTTGGGATCGGTCCTTAGTCTCACCTACCCACCGAGACAGAACGTGGGCATCACTACATTGACTTGAATCAACCCAACCAAGGAGGGTGGCAGTTGTCCAATAAAGTGCGAAGACTTTTCCCACCGTCAGGAGGAAGACAGAGGCACTCCGCTTCTACGTCCATCTAGTGGAATTTGTTTACCAGTACACTGCACCTCCTCATTGTTTCTTTGCTGGAGTGGCCCTCCAGGAATGATTGAATTTGCGGCTATGAAAAATCATCTTGTGTAGCACGCAGGGTCTCGAAGGTAAGCAAGCTTACAGACAAAGTCACAGGCCAGTCTCATCGGGATGAGCAGCTATAGCTAGCCAAAATAATACCGAAGCAGGCATTTTATCTCCATGCCGAGGCCAAAGAGATGTCATCCGTACTGCCGAGTTAGTCAACCATATAATCCATCTGTTTGGCCTTACCTAGATTTCTCAGGCTAGAAAGAACATTGTATTGAGTCAGGCACCAAAATGCATTTATTTATTTGAAAAATGGAGACCTGATGTGCTTTAGTATCTACAAATTATTGTGCTACGAGGCGAATGAACTATTCATTCCAACGTATCGTTCAAAAGTCCACAGAGCGCTTGGCAGGAAGCAATAGTCGGAAGGAATATTTAGATCGTGCGTAGATGATTACGGTCATCTCATGGCCATAACTTCAGGACTAAGCTTCAATCTATTTCATGCTATCTTGTTTGTATTTCTCACCGAGTATCACTGATTGAAAAATCTTTCTCGAGCAGCTTTCTCGCCCGAAAAACGACAAATTGTTTGCAGGGGTGTGACCGTTTGTTGACTGCACCTTGAACCGCGGTGTAGTAATAAAAAGCATGGTGTATTCACAGCATTTTGGACCATCTTGATTTGACAGACTGGAATGGTGAAAACAATAAAACATTTGAGGGAGATGAACCAATCAGTCCTTATTCTTCCTGCTTGTCACTACACTTTCTACTAATCTGATAACCCGGGGGGAGGGGAGAACCTGATAATCTTCTCTCGCAAACGTTGGTCACAATTAACTTTGACTGAAATTGGCTGTTTGGTGCAATGAAAAATTCCAACCCAAACTGGGAAATGAAATGTAACCGAGCGTAACACATCAGACGTTCTATTTATATATATATATATATATATTTGGTGGAATAAGAGTTTGTTCCGTAATAAACCGGTCTCACAAAGTGTCTGTGAGTAATTCCACGTTCAATTGCCTAGTTGACAAACCTGAGAAAGGCAACAACTGAATGCGACAAATCGATATGGAAAATGCAATTTCAGGTTGTGGATAAATGTGTGTGTGCGTGCGTGTGTGCTTATGTTTGTGTATGTGGGCAATAAGAGAAGAAATTTGATAAAGCATCAAACTTCTCCAACCGCAGCGAGTATATACTCGGATAGCAATGTCTATCCGCTTTCCCTGGAGACGAATATAGATTGATTCCCGTGTGGATTCTCTCTCTCAATTAAACGACGATGAAAAAATCCCCATACAGTGTTCCTGTCCCCTGCCGGGAACGCAAAGCTGACTTGTTATTTCTTTCCTTTGCCCTTCTTTTTCTTCGGTCCGGGGGCTAATTTATGAATCATATCAAACGTGTCCTGATTGATCCGATGACCCATCCGCACTCCGATTTGTGGTAGTTTGGCATCTTTTCGGGCCAAAATTCCTTCCAAAATTTGTCTGGCTCCCAAATCTCCAACTTCATTGGCGAACAGATCAATTTCCTGTAAATCTTTACTGTGAGAAATAATGCTGTAATGAGGCGGGCAGAAAACAGATTTTGAGTGACGGTTGATAATTGGTGATATCCCTCCATACTGTGAGCATCAAATTCATGCAGTGAATCCAACTGATGGAACAGAATCCATAAATCAGCAACATTTGCTACGATCATGTTACCAAAACACGCAGTGGCCCGATTTTTAGGACAAATTGTCGATCCAGCCAGGATCGTTGAAACCTTTTTAAAGCAATCGGCTGCTAAAATGTGCTATCCAAACGCTACCAGTGACAAACATATTCTCCCTACACACACACACACACACACACACACACACGCACACACACACACACACACACATACACACACTCCCCCGTGGACTTCACAAACCTAACTCGGTTCAAACACAGACACGCTAATCACTCTGAAGAGGCAAAAACAGTGTTTGAGTTAGACGTTTCACTGCGAATGATATAACGGACAATCAAAACGGTCCACTGGATGAAATTTGAGGAGATAAGAAAGTGCATAGCTTTGAAAATTTTGCTTCCGAATAGACGGTTATCGTGGGCTGAAACTTGTGTAAGTTGGAAAAACTGATCGAAACTTGTCTACTTCGACGACGAAAAGGAATTTAATTTAGGTGAGTCCGACACGTGAAACTAATGCGGGCATGATCTGCTGTACATCAGTAAGCGAATTAACAATAGTGACATGTTGATGGTATCCGGTACCTTCTCGAGCAACGGTCTAACCGAATTCGCACACTACGTAGGGTGCACACTTCTGATACATACGTACATTTGCACATCGGAGAAGTTACATTATTCAAATAGTGGTATTAAACGGTTGAACTGACGTCAGTTCCCCGCGTGATAATGCCACAATTATTAACTGGTTATTACTTGATGGCATCAAAACAATGGTGTGTGCTGCGTACAGCCTAGACTTGAAGCCAAAATAAACCATTTGGGCTATTCCTACCCGAATGATGCACCAAAAGGCAAGCACCTACACCAAAACAATTAAAACGGAAGTATCGGAAACATCCTTTCCCTTTGATCCATTTGAGTTAAACAAGTAACACAATATGGCCAGAATTGTTATTGGCCATCAATTCCGCGTGCTATCAATCAGCTGTCTACGCACATCAAATAGGTCGAATTTTATAAGAAGAATACCATATATGGACATTTCCATAATTACATGGGTTCAGGCAGAAAGCATTGGTATGTTGAGTCATTACCAAAGTCATTTGGGTAAGGGTAAAAGAGGAAGAGGGGAATTTTAGCATAGAAACAGTTACGTAATGTAAAACGATTAGCCGTGGTGGAAACAGAGTTGAACATGGTTACGTAATACGAAAAAGATACAACCAGAAATTAATTCGAACAGATGTAGAAAGTTAACGGAGTAAAAAAAAATGGCCAATTAAGTAGGTCAAAGAGAGTTAAGTAATGAGAAAATGAGAGGGGTAAATTGTCAAAGATGATGTAAGGGAACAGTTAAGATGATGGGAAGGAAAGGGGAGGGGAATTACCATGGTAATAAAAACTGCATAACAAAGGCCTTTTGCATGCATAGGTCAGGCTTTGAACGGCTAATGACAACCGCTTCAGCAAATCTAAGCGTCGTTGGTCTTCGAACTTTGAACATAACGCGGAAAGATTTGCGTCTGTCAATGCGGTTTCCGGTATCCAGTAAATACCCTGCCACTGCGTTTTCTGGAAGTTTTCCTCCTCGAAGTGATAAGTTATTCGCAACATGCTCACTCATTCTGGCCGACAGCTGGTAGACAGCTAATGGAGAGCACCCGAAATTGATGGCCAATGTCAATTTTGCTCACATGATAGTACTTGTTTTATTGAAATGAAACAGGAGTATTCTGTATTGTAGAATGGAATACTATCGACGCTAGCATTTTTCGAAATCTACTGACAGAGTAATGAATGCTCCCCGTATTTACCTGGCTCTCATGGGCAAAAATCACCTGGGGAGCAGTACTTTTGTCGCGATGACGACTATGCTATCCTGATACATTTTCGATCAAATAGAAGATAATTATATGAAATTTTCTTTTTAGCTTTTCATTTGATGGCCGTATAAATGGTCAAAAATGGCGATAATCGTGCATATGGGAATAGTGATGATTTAAAACTATACGAGGGGTGTGATACTTTTTTGGCGGGTAGCATTGGCGCATGCGAAACATTCGTACAGAAAATGCTTTCAGGTTTTATGTCCTGATTTTACCCTTTGCATCTGTCTATCGGGATCTCAGTCACAGACACTTCGTCACAAGTCTCTATGTATGATTTCGCAACGGAAGAGGTGAAATCCAGTGAACAATTTCGAACGATTTGTGAGCAAACGAAATTATTTGATTCTGTTACAATACCACAAAATGCGAACGGGTTGTTATTGAGGGAATAAAGATATTCGAACAACTTGCTCTGCTTCTAGTTAAACGCCGAAGGGGATCATCGAATATGTCAGTGTAGCCCAGTTAGAATATCTGACAAGACAAATTCACAGCTAATTTCCCCTACTACGATTGTTACTGCCCGTATACAGTTTATTTTTGCAAAAGCCGCAGTGCTTTAACCACAACCCGTAGTCCTTGACGCACAAACTTTAGTCATATTGCTGTAAGCGAGTTAAAGCAAAAAGTATCGGATAATTCCGAAGTTAACGGAAGTTGAAACATTTTATTTTCTACAAATAATGATGTTGCAAAACTTGATTAAGAAATGAGGTGTGGCGATCGCACGCTGCAACACATGTTGATTTGGCAAGGTTTAAAGATGTGCCCGTATCGTCAAACCATTTGACACATCTAGTATAGCTTCAGTGTTTCCGTATAAAATGTAATACTCTTGTGAGTAAAACTCTCAAATAAAACACAAATGGTGCATCGTTTTGCATTCGCAAGCACTGAAATAAATGAAAAAAAGATACCAAAAAGGTAAAGTCTTATCCTTCCATATCTCCATTTAAACTGAATCCAGTTCATGAAAGGTGGCTTTATTATCAATCTGAGACGAACGAACACCGTTCACAATCGACACCACTTTTTAGTACACCTTAGCCCATCGAGCTTTAGATAAAACCCGTAATTTTTGATCATCGACCGTAGTAATTATGTCAAACGTGGCAGCGTTAACAGGCTGATAATTGTAATAGGTGTTTTTCTGATGGATGTTTATGCTTGGCCTGTTAAGATTATCCACCTCTCATGAATTAACTTCACTTTAAGAGTAAGCCTGTACTTTTTCATTTACTTCAGTGAAAATAAAATGTTTCAACATCCGTTAACTTCGGAATTATCCGATACTTTTTGCTTTAACTCGCTTACAGCGGTATGACTAAAGTTTGTACGTCGAGGCTAAGGCTTTGCGGGTTTTGGCTAAAGGGATGTGGGTCAAGAATAAAGGATGGTGGGTCAAGGCTAAAGTGTTACCGGTTTTCGCTAAAGCTTCTTGGGAAAGGCGTCGAAATATTATGCAATACAAAATTGGTCAACAGATTTGGGTCCTGCGAGAATAAAATGAATGTAATGTTAACAATGACTAATATCAATCCTGCTCATAATAAGTCAGTTTTTCTATTCAAATAGACCAAGGGATAGGATGTTTCTGATTGTGAGAAGAGAATAGAAAATAAATTATCCTTGTCCTATCTCAAAACAATATTTTTGAAACTGAATTTGACCAGCAGATCAACGAACCAACTGACCTTTTCAATAGTTGCATACAACGCACTGGTGCGAAATTTCCACCACGTCCCATATGATTAATGCCCGTGTCGGCCAAGCGAAGAATACTGATTTGTGGACCCGAAGGAGGTGGCTCATTTTTTTGACCCTTTTTGCCTCGTTTCCCACGTTTTTTGGCTGTGAACGGACAAAGTGAATTATTTTTCTCTCCAGTTCCGCAATTTTTAATGTTTTTTTATTTAACAGAACAAAACACAAACAAAAGAACAAACAAATACAATCAGAATTCAATGAAACCAACAATTTTGATTACAATATCATAATCAAACTGTTTTGTAGGGTTCGACTTTGAAACATCTCTTGACAATCGCTCATCCAGAGTGGTTTCGTAACCAAATTCTAAAGCTATTGGGTTCCATTCAAGCGATAGTAGTCAGGATACAATGAGCTCATAAAATAAAACAGCTGATCTACAAAATTAGATGGTTTCGGTGAAAGTTAAGTCATGTCCGCCCGTCTTAAAAGAAAGACCAGCGGACAGTAAAGTTACCCATTATCATAGTTTCCAGGTCAGAACTATCTGTGGAATTCACGAAGCTGAAAGTGATACGATTGTTCCGCTTGCTCCACTCAGTTCAGTCCAGTTCAGTTTTTTCAACCATTATCCATACACTTTTGTGGAACGGTTTTGATTACTGTCTTTTGCGTGACCATTTGGATAAATGAGCACAATGAAGAATGGAATATTGACAGCAAAGTCAAAATGTGTCAATGTTTGCGACACACAGACGTATCAATCAGTCTCTAACCACCGATTACGATGATCCCGGGGTCCCATTCAGGGAGCACAATTAAACCTATGTAAACAAGTCTTCTGGTAATGGTTTTTAAACCCTAATTTCAGATCTGCGTTTGATCATCCTGTACTTTTTTCCACCCAACACCTGCCTGGAAAAACAGCATGCGCTGTGGTTCCAGTGAACGACCGCGATTACCTAAAACTCTGCACCTAAACTCTACATTGCTAGACCAATTTCATCACCGGACTCGCGCAATTCGAAAGCCGAGAGTCTATCTTTTCCTAGTCTACGTAATTACCAAGTATCTGAGCCGTATAGCATAACTGGCCAAACTGTTGCAGCATATGCTCTATCATCCGTAGACAGCTGGATGTCGCCCCGGTGCAACAGTTAGCAAATACAAATCGAGCTCTCTGTATGCGAGCCATGGTGCGTCCGCCGGTAAGATACAGCTGCCCAAGTACAAAACTTTGTTAACTACATTTATTACTTTTTCAACTAGAGTGAGATTAAAAGCTGAAATAACCCAATACTGTAGCAAACTTTTGCTCTCGGAATGTGCAAAACGCCGCACTAGCACTCAAACCGTCAAAAAAGCTTGCAATACACCTGAATCTCCACTTGGCAGTGCATTGCTGTCTGTATACCCCAAATCGGACAGTCTACCGACCGGTAGGGAATCGATACCACTGTTCTCGCACCAGAACAGCACTTTGCTTGGCATATTGTCGGGACTCAGATGTATTATATACATATATATATATATATATATCATAGTAAGTAGTATGTGAATGACTAGATGAAATTTCCCTGGAAGCACACGACCGGTTTCGCGGTTGTTGCCGCTCGTCAGTTATGCGTATCCAGTAATCTTTTGTCAGTTCCTTCGTATACTTGTACCCAGAAAGTATGTTTTCGACACAATAGCCTTGTTTGCATCACCAGGTGACGTTTGGATAGACAGCTCTTTCAGAGCCAGTCCAATGATGAATCAACATTGAATCATAGCACTGATTCTCCAATGGACTTACCTCAAGTGGGACCAGGTTATACATCTCACCCAATGGCTGATTGGCTGTGGTTAGTTGACGCATGACTTAGTGATACGTACTACCTTCGAGTAAATTCGGTTGCCAGACCACCCCCTCGTGTATTACGACAGTGAATAGAATGGGTCGAATGCAAATCGATAGGTGTAAAATGAGATGTAAAACACATAAGCCTGAATGCGGCACAGGTTGCGTCAGGCATACCCATATGCGTTTTCATGAGCACTCCAAACTCATGCAAACTATCCAGTGATCTGGATTGACACAAGGAACCCCTGTCGCCATAACTAAACCGAAACTGGCTAACTCACAAAGCTCAGCATATTACAGTTTAGGTCAGTTCAGTTTTTACAAACATCAAACATGCACTTTCGTACACCGGTTTTGGTTGCTATCTTTGGCTACCCTTCTGGGTGTATTACAGTCCTTATTGAAAGACCAAGTGAACTGGTAAACCTAACTCGTGTTCAACGTCAACTCAATGACCCAATGATGGCAGACTCTAGAGAATCAACACCCTGAACTGTGAGAATCACACACTGATCATTGGAAATGAGCACACAATCACTTGAGACTATGTTCACTTGGTAACAGAAATATCGGACCGGAAATGAGATGTGAACAGCAAACATAAACGAACAAGTCAACCGCAGAAAAAAGCGGGGAATGCTGAAACAAGAGAACAGAAAATTGGATGAAGGAACCCGAATTGAACCAGTTCGACTGACTCATAAAGTAAACGGTTCAACTGTGTTTACTTAGCCTTGAAAATACCATATTATGGAAAACACAACTGTTGATCTCGACATTGTCTACTGGCTCGCTCGCTCTGCGTTACTTGTTCTGAACTTCTACGGTAGCAACCGTCCAGTTACCGATTTCCTTCCAAAAACAAAATCGAGGTTTTAGGATAATGTGAACTCCAAGAATAACACTGAACTGTTATTTTTGAAGGTGGATACATAAGATCCATCCGGTTCGGAGTATTTACACCTTACCTTCCGAGTAACCACCGTTTCAAATCGAAGACTGATTTCCAACGATATTAGGCGGATATGGTCAACTGAGTAAAATACCTTCTTTGTAGACTGAAATAGACAAAGCTAGATGATCCCTGCTTCGTTACAGTTTGAGAAAGGATTACATGCTGAAACCTTTTTTATCAATATAAGAGAGAGAGAGAATAAAAAGGCCGTTCGACGAAGTGAAATAAAGAAAGAAGCTTTAGTTCTCAGACCGTTGCCGTTGGCGCTGTGGATAGAATGCAGGAGTTCATCCGGGAATTACAGTAAATAAATGTGATTTAGCATAAAATTCAGTGGATATTCAATTTTTATACCGTTAGATTCTTCGCTGTATCAAGACATCATTGCCAAGCACCTTTTGCAGCTATTCCTTTCAAACGTATGCCAAACGTATATAGGTAATCACACTGAATTTAAACGAAGCGGTTCAGTTCGAGGAAATATCAGATTTACTGAAATTTACTCCCTAGGTCACTGAGCCCAGGCTGAACCCGGTCCCGTAACCACTCATGTAAACATTTCAGTCTGAGCATGGTGGTCCAGTTGTCGATCCAGTTTGATGCAACTTGTTTTCCGATATCAATTACCACGGGGGGTTTTCATTTTGATCTAAAACGTACTTGATTAATGATCAAGAACGTAACATTCCTAGGGAGGGAAGGATAGTCGGACCCCACTCTCACCGAAACCGTCATCCATGGTAGATAGTTCGCTCAAAAAGTGGTTTTGTTTGATTGTTGAGCACCCCTTTCATTCCGACTACATGAGTGATTTATAGACCCGATCTAATAGATCAGATTTGACCACAGAAGCAAGAATCAATTTGTGACGCTAAGAATGGAATGCGATTGGCAGATCCGCTTGGAGGTACAACCGGATCTCCTGCAGTAACGACAGATTCACTTAAAGTTGCACGGTAGTAAAGCTCTGAGTGAAGCTTATCAGACTAACGGAGCAATAAAACCACTTTCTACCATCTCTCTTTGAAACGAATAGAGATAACTTTATCCGGTTTTCTCAATTCACTCTAATCAATTTTTATTTCATTCATACATTGACTCATTTCAGTCTCTGATGAATAACACCGGGGGAACAACGAAGTTTTCACCTTTTTCGACCTGTCATTTCATTGATTTTATCAATCTATTTTGCTTCATCACAAAAGACACGTAGTCAAATGATGTCAACCGAAACGGCCGTTCAGAAGGATATTCGCTGGTCTCCAACTAAGCGACCATTTAGTTCAAATCCTCCGCACAAACTATCACGAGTAAATTTGTGAACCTATATCACGAAATCAAGTGACTTACCTTTCTTCTTCGGACCCGAATTGTGCGATTTCTTCTCCCCCTCATCATCCGTGGTCTTACCTTGCGGCTGGGACGCGGTATTCCCTTCTGTCGCGGTCGTGTCTCCGGGTGCTTGAGATTCTTCTTGGTCAGGAGCTTCTAAGTTGATAACCGGTCTGGCTGTAAACGAGAAAACAATTAGGTGCACTCAGGTGGTCCCTCCATGAATGAGACAAAACCATTAGGCGGAATCATTTTTCTGTGGAATTCTGAAATAAATATAAACACATGCCTGATGACTGGAAAGAACCTTGAAACCAATCGTGTGCTTCCACGGACATTTGTCCAATCATTCAGATAGTACATAGATAGTACATAGAAAAATGTTTCGTGATTTCTCAATCTTTTTCTTATATGTAGATCTTAGCAAAGCTGTACCAACCACGAACTGACGCTGAGAGTATCCGATATATAGTCACGGGTAAATTGCTTGATCCGGTCCTAATCATTGACTTCGATTCAGAAAGATTACTGCACTCGATTGGATAATGAAAATGGTATTTTGGGGTTTAGCTTTACTCTACTCATGAGTAGTCTAGCACTAACGGACAAAAGAGCATGAAAGATGTGCACGGAAAGGGGCCCGCAACAAACTTTCAAAGATGGGTTATGCTTTATCGTGTAAATGGAAAATAAAAAACATTCTGATCAACTGCTCCGTGGAGTAGAGGGTAGCACGCTTGCGTTCTGCCCATGAAGTCCCGGGTTCGATCCCCAGTCGGGTTGATGGATTCGCACTGCTGATGAGACCCAACCAGGTCGAAACAGCTGTCCAGTGCTTCCCGGCTTTCCACTTCACGCTTCATTTGAAATTTAACCAAATCCTCCATTACTCACATAGATAATTGTTTCAGTCGTGTATGGGATCAGCAGAGGTACAAATTAAATAACAGAATCGAGGGCAATGGATGTAACTAAACATGCATAACACAAATGTACTAAACAGAGTGATCACGGTGTTTTATTCTTCTGTTACGTTTTGCCTACAGGTTCAGAAAGTTCCAAAAAGAATGGCTACACCCTGAGGACTTGGGGAGTAGATGAGTCAGCTTAGTAAGACGCAGTCGGGTTGGAAAATGGGGTTGTGTTGGAGAGCATATGGAAAATATCCATCCTTCCAACCGATTTTCCGGTGGTTAATGGGACAGTATGGCTTGTGCTGGTGAGAGAGAGGTCACACAGTTTGGTCGATCTATCCGCGTTGTTCTTGCTACGAAAAACGACTGAAATGATTATCTTGTTTTTGGTGATGTTCTCAATCAACTGCTCACACAATAGCCGACTAGTGAGAATGGGCTATATTTCTTGTATACAATTCTTTATAGAACATGGAATCTCTAAGACATTCGTACAAAGGCCTCAACTGGAAAAATATACGAGCCATTTTACGTACCGCACGTCCTTTTCTATTTGCTTATGAATTAAAGCACGAAATTAAACCATTGAACAATAAAGCTTGCTTGTATGTTCTACAAAACGCCACGGATGTTCTACAGAATGCTTTGTCCGGTCTATCAAACGGTGAAGTCGAGCTCCTTTCAGGGGACAGAGTTCTCGGCTAGGAATACGCCGATGACATTATCTTATAAGATGATAACACACAGACAGTCCAACAGGCTTTGAACCACTTGGCGATAGAGGTATCCATGTATGGTATGTGCATGGCACCTTTCAAGTGAAGTGCTTGTTCAAGACTGGCAGGAGCCTGTGCCACCCTCACTCCCTATGGTGATCAGATGGAAGTATTTGAAAGTTTTAAGTACCTCCAGATCTGTGAAGAGAAGAAAAGCGTTCAAAGGTCTGATACGCTGGTCGACTGTTTGATTTCTTTTGACAACTGCTGGCCGTGATTTGCCATCCACGAAGGCATTGCCTTAAACAACAACAAAACTAGCACAGAAGATTCGGTGGCTGAAGTCAAAATTCCTCTTCTCTACGTCATCCCAAATGAACGCCAATCCGTCGAACCGTCCAAATAAAAGTTTTTCTCATCACTGGTTACCACAACCGGTGAGTAATGAAGACGTTCTTCGTAGCGTGCTGGGTGCGGATAGTCGTTCTCTAACAGAAGTAATCACTCTACGCCGCTTCCGATGACTTGGTCATGTATCGTGTATGCCTGCTCATCGTCTACCCTTCCCTGCTCGTTTTACACATACTATACAAGGCT